TACTGATCTTTCTATCCATCTATCAATTCACCTTGCAATTCTGATGCGTTTCAAATTAAGTTAAAGTCATCAGTATACTTTACCTCTAAACACTTGAGCTGCATGCATGATTCTGGAATTCACATTCAAAAAAGAATTAAACAAATACTGTTGGATTTAAATTAATTGCAAGTGAGTTAAAAGGGCTGAATGTGACTATAAAGAAATTCATGGAATTATCTGTCATGGGTTAGAGAATAGTCTCTTGTTCCAAATATTAATGGGTAATATAGTGATGAAGTAATTTTCAACTCTCTTCACACAGAGGATGGGGAGGCACGTGAGAGGGATGAAATCCGGCATGACAGGCGAAAAGAGAGACAGCACGACAGGAATCTTTCCAGGGCAGCTCCTGATAAGAGGTAGGTGCTATTTGAAAGAAATGCAAATTATGAGGAGTGGGTTTTGTGAACCTTTTCGAGAAGAGGTTTAGTCCACTGAGACCAGTTTTGCTTCTTTCCCTTTCCTCTCTAGATTGATAACTTACTAAATCAGCACTTATTTTCTTACACTAAACTATCTACTTTTTCTTAGTAGAAAATTGACTGTCCCTAAAAGAAATCCTTTCTCATCACCTTATAGAGTTAGCAGGACTTGTGAATGATAGGGATATAGAAAAGGGAATTCAGATCATGTTTGTGAAAAGAAGATAGTAGATAGGACTGTTCTGGTCTGTTCTTTTCCTATTTCAAGTGGTGAGACAAACTTATGCGCCTATTCCTCTAGACAGGGAAGAAGATTCTATACCTTCATTGAGATCTACATGCAGAGGGCCATCCCGAGTACAATGGGGGACAAGAGCAGGTTTTGTGAGAAGTGAAAATTGGCCTCTTCTCATGAGTAGTTCACTTAAAATTCAGAAAGACAGAGCTACCATATAAAATTACTTGGGAAACTTAACACAACACTGCTAATAAGTACAGACCTGAATGGAACAAGCAAAATACATGTATGGGGACTTGCACTAAAGTGAGGATTGGTAAAGTTTATGCTTCACCAAAGGCTGAGCACTGAATTCTGAGTGAGGGTTAAATGCAAATATAAAGCATTTTCTTTCCATATGAGTTTTCCATGCTCTAATCACTTTGTGAGCTGATACAATCCATTTTTCCAAGTCATGTCTTAAACACGAAAAAGATGATTCCTGCTGGTGGTGCTCTTTGTTATTTAATAATGGCCTAGCTCATCTCCCTGGATAAGTGAAGTCATGGAGAAGCAGAAAATCTGAATTTACAGTTGTGGGTAAATGTGCAGTGTAGAAGAGAGAGGAATGAATATGAAAGTGCACAATTAATGATACTCTTGGTCTGAAATTCCCAAGCTATAAAAATCAAAAGGACTCTGTAGATAAATTGGGCCCTTAAAACCAGTAAAGTGGTTATGAGAATTGATAACATAGAAAAGCTGTAAGCTTGTGATTGGGTGAAAATCAGGTTGTCTATAGAAATTATTTTAAGACCTGAGTTTCTGGTAAAATAAATGATGACAGTTACCATGGTTTCATTACAGTGTAGATTGCATACATACTGAAACAGCAGGGGAATTAAGATAATCTGAATATTGAAAATCAGACTGAGTAATTCAGTCATTGACATGTTTTCCTCAAAATTCTAATAGGATAAAATTACTAAATGTGGTTTAGGTAAAGAACAGATTCTGGCTTATTGAAAGTGATTCATATGATACATCTGATTTGCATCTAGTCCCCCCCAATCCTTGTATAATAGCAAATACAGACTGTAGCAATTTCATATCTCAGCATGCTCTCTCTGTAAGGTGATTGCTTCTATTAAAGACTTAATGTCCAGAGTGAGTCCCTTGACAGTTCTTTTCAGCTAACAGGAGGGCCTGATTGTAAAACCCTACCTGTTCTAATAACCATGTCTCTGAAATGCTGTAAGGACTACCAACCTGATTATGCATTATCAGGGGATATATGTTCACAAGATATGAACAGGACGTATTCGTTAACTTTGCTTCTGAGATTGGTTGTATTTAAATTGAAATTCAGCTTGTCTGTGAAGAGTTTTGTTAGTGACATTGTATTTTGAAACAGGTCGAAACTACAGAGAAATGAAAATCGAGATATCAGTGAAGTCATTGCTCTTGGTGTGCCCAATCCTCGGACGTCCAATGAAGTTCAGTATGACCAAAGGCTTTTCAACCAGTCCAAGGTACGAGGAGTTTAGAAATAGCATGTCTTAAATGTTGATGTGAATACCAGTCCTCGGGGAAAAGAAAACTAACATATCATAGATTGATCAGCCTAAGGTGTGCTGGCATAGTGAGAGAAAAAAATTAGAAGTTGCGTGTTGTGACTTACAGAACTGTTTTATCTTTTTTTTTTAAAAGGTTTTATTTATTTGAGAGAGAGAATGAGAGAGAGAGCACATGAGAGGGGGGAGGGTCAGAGGGAGAAGCAGACTCCCTGCTGAGCAGGGAGCCTGATGCGGGACTTGATCCCGGGACTCCAGGATCACGACCTGAGCTGAAGGCAGTCGCTTAACCAACTGAACCACCCAGGCGCCCCAGAACTGTTTTATCTCATCTCATCTTATTTGATGTTAAGATGAAACAACTCTGATTTTGACCTCTTAAAGTTGGCTAAGATTTAAGACACTGGTAGAAAATGAAAGAAATAAGGTGACAAAACTTGGTTTTAGTATATCAGTCTTTTATTTATAAAGTAAAGCCAGTGTCCTTCAAAAGTATCTCTTGGGTTTTTTGTTGATCTTTGAAAAACAAACTTAATGCTAAAGAAACATAACTTGAGATCTTTAAAAGGTGAAGCTATAAAACTAAATTTAAGTGCTAGACTAGTTGTCAGGAAATGTGATTTCTAATACCTATCATTATTAACTAGCTAGGATACATTAGGCCGGAAGAAGTGCCTTTATGTGTTCATCCACCCAACAGTGATTATGTACTGTGCTAAAGACAGTGAGATCAAAGATGGATATGCCTTTGCCCTCAAGGAACCTTCTACTGGAAAAGACATATATATGTATAAATAAGGACAGGGCAGACTGCAATAAAAATATGGAAGTATAATGTTCTACTGGGATACAGAGGGGAAGAATTTATTATGACTTGGAGGCTTTAAGATTTGAAGGTAGTATTTGAGTAAGCTCTTTATTGGGTACTTTTTTACATTCCTGGCATTGTTCTAAGTCTTTCACTTTTATTATCTCACTTAATCCTTACAAAAACCTATTAAGTCATACTATTTATTATAATCTCTACTTATAGATGAGGAAATTGAGACACATAGAGGTTTAGCTAGAAATTGATAGAAGATTCAAACGTTTGATTTCAAAGGTTGTGTTCTTAAACACAATGCAGTGGTAACTCACCAGCCTGAGCAAAGGGGTGTTAGGCATGAAAGTTCCACCTAAGTATTTATGACAGTCAGTCACCTCTTACAAGCTTAAGCTTATTTCAAAGCTGTGATAAAATTTTTTCTAAAAAAGCACATCCCTGTATTAAGGAACCATCCAAATATATGAAACAAATTTGTTTGTTGTCGACTTAGGATTTTCATTAAGAGCCTTATTGTCCCATGCTATAATAGTTATGTTCTCAGGGAGTTAAGGGATATAGCATTATTATTCTAAATGCCATGAGATAACTGTCAGTACAGCGTCCAACTCTTAATCTTGGGGTTGTGAGTTCAAACCCCATGTTGGGCAAAGAACTTAATTACTTAATAAGTAAATAACATCAGATAAATACTTTACGGTTCTTTTATCTTCTTGCCACTGTCTGTACAACTGAAATTGTTAAGTACCTGCTTATACTCTCCAATTTTAATGACTACTTCACTCAAGTGGTCAAACTTGTTAATTAGCACTTTACTTAATCTAAGGACCAAAGGTGGTAAGAATAAAAGTTTATGGACTTTGTTTTTTTATGAAGATCTTTTTAATTTGCAATTCAGATTGCTGAAAATGTGCGCTATAAATGATTACATGAATGTAATCAGATCCAACTTTTAATAATACATTTTTATTTAATGTCATTTTCCCACAGGGTATGGACAGTGGTTTTGCAGGTGGAGAAGATGAAATTTACAACGTTTATGATCAAGCCTGGAGAGGTGGTAAAGATATGGCCCAGAATATTTACAGGCCCAGTAAAAATCTGGACAAGGACATGTATGGTGATGACCTAGAAGCCAGAATAAAGACCAACAGGTACCAAGGCAGACAGCTCAGTTTCATTGTTTGCACCAGTGAAAACAAAGTAGTTCATAGTCCTTTCTCTTTTTCCCTAGATTTGTTCCCGATAAGGAGTTTTCTGGTTCAGACCGTAGGCAAAGAGGCCGAGAAGGACCAGTTCAGTTTGAGGAAGATCCTTTTGGTTTGGACAAGTTTTTGGAAGAAGCCAAACAGCACGGTGGCTCTAAAAGACCCTCAGATAGCAGCCGCCCCAAGGAACATGAGCATGAAGGCAAGAAGAGGAGGAAGGAGTAGATACACCTCTCTTCAAAGTGAATGAACTTTTATCCATAACCCTAATGATGCAAGTCAGATGGGCAAACACTTTGTAAATGGCCAGGATAAAAACCAAATCTGGGTGTCAGACCCCAGCACTACTTTTTATTACGGGAGTAAGGGGTGGGAGGGGATGGAAAATTCTTTCAACTATTTAGTTTTTTTTAAAGAGTGGGTTGTGTTTGTGCTTCTCCTACCTTTTGGCATTTATAGAACATACTGCCCCACACATGAAATTAAGACCACTTCCTTTCATGTGACATTAGTACTTTGGGGTTAATATTTTGTGTAAGAATGACTGCTGATGAATAAAGTTGCCCCAACCACAAGGAAAAGAAGGATGTTCACATACTGGAACTGTCCTGCCAAATGACATTTGCCCCTATTACGCTCTGTTTTAATTTGGAGTGGGGAAAGTAAGCTCTTGCTTGGTGCAACTATTTGTTTCAAATAAAAACATTTAGACAAAATTTTTAATTTTGTTTACTTTAATAGGTAGTAATAGTCTCAAAAATCTTTCTCTTCATCAGATGTTTGATCCCCTTGCAAAACTTTTGGTCTCTGAGCTTGAACATGGAGCTAAAAAAAAATAAAATAAGCATTGTAAGGAAAGACAGTATCTGCAAAAACTTACAACTGAAAACTGCCACTTTAAGACTGCCTATTTATGAGGGAGTCAGCACCAGTAAGTCAAGAGAATGTTATTTGTTCCCTGGTCTTAAGACTAAGTCAGTTTAACCCAAGGTTGCATAGTAAGTGGCAAAGCCAGGATTTCAACCCCAGTCTCCCTACTTTGTAAGTAGACTGCTGTTCTGTGTTAGAATATACCTTGCTAACTATTAAAGGGTCTTCCTAAACTACCCTCTCCAGACATTTTATAATGGGCACTCTACCCACCACCATTCTTTAACCAATATTAAGGGAACTTCAGTTACAAATCTCCCAAAGTCCTTGTCATTCCATACTTCTGACCTACTAAACTGATACACAGAAAGCTCATGATGTTATACAGAAAAATATTTACCTTTACTCCATCAAGAATATGATTTTCTTGTTGTAGTGCATTCTGAAGTTCTTCTTCTGAAGAAAACTGAATCCAACCCATACCTCTGTGAAATCCAGTCTCTTTGTCCTAAAAATTCAAAATTTAAAAAAGATTAATCATGAACTGCAGAAAGTTTCCATAAGCTCCAAATCAAATTACCAACTTTTTCATCTGCCAAAATGGGATAACTGACATTTTAATAAATGTCAAAAACCTTGCTTTAATACATACTTACCCTCCTAGTTACCAAAGGTTAACCCTTGTGTTAATCTTAACATTTTGCTTTTCTGCTGCCATTGGAGGAAGTAAAATACCGGTAGTGAGGTTTCTGTCATTCGAGATAGAAACTACACTAACAATAATAAAGGGACTTTTTAAATTTTATTTTTATTTCATTTATTTGACAGAGAGAGAGATAGCGAGAGAGGGAACACAAGCAGGGGGAGTGGGAGAGGGAGAAGCAGACTTCCCGCGGGGCAGGGAGCCCAATGTGGGACTCGATCCCAGGACCCTGGGATCATGACCTGAGCCGAAGGTAGACTCTTAACGACTAAGCCACCCAGGTGCCCCAATAAAGGGACACTTTGATCACATAAAGAAACTCTGTTTCTAACTTCCTCACTTTTAGAAACTAAAAAATTAAGCCTCAAAACCTAGTTCATTTCTGTTAATTTTGGAGACCAATTACTCTCATCACCACCACTACCATTATAATTATATAGTCCTAATGAAAAATAGAAAAAAAAATATACATTACCCTTATTTACCTAGCTCCAGACTTACAGTAACGCTACTTCCCCTTGTGCAAAAGGCAGAGTGCTTATCATCCAACCTATACACAGCACAAGTGGAAAAGATCCTAGTGTGTTTGGATGCACCCTGCCCCCACCTGACCAGCCCTACTATTTAAGAACAGATATAAAGATGTCTATTTACTCAGTGTACCTCATCAATCCTGTGACAAAGTTATGTTGTGCTCTGCACCAGCCCCCAAACCAAATTTTTAGAAATTGCCCCCATATTTAAAAGGTGACTTTTTAAGTCTTAACCTAGACTGCAGGAAAAGTTTCTGGTAATATCCCAGTGACTCACTCCTTACCTCAGCTACAATTTCTCCTCTACTTCCATATGGCCATTTCTTTAAGTAAAAGCCTTAAAAAATTTGTGTTTATGTAAAACTTAGGTACTATATATCTAAGTTACAGGAACCTGGATTTCTGGGCGCTTGGGTGGCTCAGTCAGTTAAGCATCTGCTTTTGGCTGGGATCAAGTCCCACATTGGGCTCCCTGCTCAGTAGGAGCCTGTTTGTCCCTTCTCCTCTGCCTGCTGTTCTCTCTGCTTGTGCACTCTCTCTGACAAATAAATAAATAAAATCTTAAAAAAAAAAACAAACTTTTCTCCTGTTACATTTTACTTAGTTTTAGCAAGAATCAAAGTTTTCTTTTGTTTAAATCTAAGACGTTAACTCCAGGTCCTAAATAATCTTGCTTATACTTTTAAGAACGAAATGGCAAGCAAGAAAAATGTGTTACTACTTTTGGAGATATTTTTAAGTAGGTTCCACGCCTATGTAGCGTGGAGCCCAAAGCAGGGCTTGAATTCACAACCCCTGAGACTGAAACCTGAACTGAGATCAAGAGTCAGACACTTAATGGATTTAGCCACTCAGGTGCCCCAGGAAAAATTTTTTTTAATGCTCATCAAAAAAAGAGAAATTTCATCCTCTTTGTAAAATTGTAGTTTTTAAACTTATAAACATTTTTGTGTAATACTTGTGCCTCGTTCTTTTAATCAACTGTATTAAAACTCCATTGTATCAATGAATTAATACCTATTTAATCCCATTAATGAACATTTAGGTTCTTTCCAGTTATATTATTAAACAATGCTGCTTTGAACATTCTTGACCACACCATTTCTGTAGAATTCCTAAAAATGGAATTGCTAGATCAAAGCAAATGCAAATTCTTAGTTTTGATTTTGCCAAACTACCCTTCAGAAATGAAGTAAACTTCTGAACAATTTCAGTGCCAGCTTCCCTATACCCTCACTAGCACCAGAGATGAGTAATCTATTAGATCCTTGGAATGCAACTAACATGAAATCAAGAGTTAAGAATTTTAATTACTTTAGGTTAATATTTTGCCATAGCCTTTTCAGTGCCATGAGGAAAAAAGGGGCAGTTTTAGTGAAGCAGTTGAAGTGTACTCCCAACCCACCCCCAAAAACGCAGTAATTCTAGAAAGCCCCCAGACAAATACAGCCCAGGATAAAGTAGAACAAATTTATAAACTGATTTCTAAATCTTCCTTAGAAAGCAAAGAAAATATAACAAATATAAAAACACTAAAAGAAGAAAACAATTTAATAAGGATGAAGTTTAAAATAGATATTCTCTGCCAATTAGTTTGATGATAAAATCATCCTCTAGTATCAAGTCCTTATTGTAATACTGGAGTAGGCAGAATTCTAAGGTAGTTCCATGATCTCCACATGTCCCACTATGTTAACGCTCTGAATAATCCCCTCTTGGGTGTGTGAGGGACCTGTGACATGCTTCTAAGCAAAAGAATGTGGCAAAAGTGATGGGATGCTGCTCCCCTGATCAGGTTATATAGCAAAGGTGATGCGATGTCACTCCCATGACTATGTTACAAGGCAGTCTTAACAGAATGGAGAAACTCCCCTGCTGACTGAAGTAAGCTGCCATGCTGGGAGAGAGCCCACACACCTGCCAGGTAACAAGGAACTGCAGGTCCCTACAAGCTGAAAGCCAGCAAAAAAGTAGATATTTCAGTCGTACAGTTCAAAGATGACTTCTGCCAACAACCTGAGAGAACTTGAAAATCAGTCTTTCCCAACTGAGCCTTTGAGCCTCTGATGAGACCAAAGTCCCAGCTCATGCCTGACTGTAGCTATGTGAGACCCCAAGCAGAAGACTCAGCAAGGCTGTGCCCAGACTTCTGATCTGCAGAAACTGTGAGTTAATATATATGTGTGTTGTTTTGAGTCCCTAAGTGTGTGGTAATTTGGGGCACCTGGGTAGCTCAGTTGGTTAAGCGTCTGCCTACAGCTCTGGTCATGATCTCAGGGTCCTGAGATCGAGCCCCACGTCAGGCTCTCTGCTCAGCTGGGAGTCAGCTTCTCCCTCTCATTCTCCCTCTGTGCTTTCCCTCTCTCTCTCTCTCTCAAATAAATCTTTAGAAAAAAAAATGTGTGGTAATTTGTTATACAAGATAAGGTTTTTTTTTACTTTTTAATCACTATCACCCACAATTTTATCAATAAACACTATGAATAGCTTCACTCCATTAAAAGTTATATAAGCTGATATGCTTTAACAAACAGTCAAGAGTTCAAGGATAAAATCAGAAGATCAATAATTAAAGGATAACATTTTTTTTAAAGATAATACTCACAAAGGGTACAGTGCACTTTCGTACATGGCCAAACTGTGCAAAGTGTTCTCTCAGCTCACCTGTATAGGAGGAGAAAACATGTTAAAAGTAGTTAATTTATTAGTTAATATATTTGGGGCACCTGGTTGGCTCAGATGGTAGAACATGTGACTCTTGATCTCAGGGTTGAGTTCAAGCCCCACGTTGGGCATAGAGATTACTTAAAAAAAAAAAAAGTAGTTAATGTATTTTGTATCCTCCATCCTAGACTGGGGACCTAGAGTCCCCAAACTTCTTGTGAACAGGAACTACCATTTGCATTTCCTTGAAGCCTTAAGATTAAGAAGTAGCTATGGTATTGACTACAGATCGTCCTCAAGTTATGATGGGGCTACATTGATAAAACTATCATAAATTGAAAATGCATTTAATACACCTAACCTACTGAACATCATAGCTTAGCCTAGCCTACCTTAAACATGCTCAGAACACTTACATTCACCTACAATTGGGCAAAACCATCCAACACATAGCCTATTTTATAATAAAGTATTGAATTTCTCATGTAATTTATTGACTACTGAAAATGAAAACCAGAATGGTTATATGGGGACAAAATGGCTGTAAGTCTATCAGTTGTTTATCCTCGTGATCACATGGCTGACTGGGAGCTGCACCTTGCTGATGCTGCTGCCTTATATCACAAGAGAGTATCATACTGCCTATCACTAGCATGGGAAAAAAATCAAAATTGAAAAATTTGAAGTATAGTTTCTTTAGAATGCCTATCACTTTCACACCACTGTAAAGTCAAAAAACTGTAAACCAAACCATTGTAAGTCAGGAACCATCTGTATAAAGCTGCAATGCGCCAGAGATTTGGGGAGATGATGGGGTGGGGGCATACACAAATAAATTGCTGAGCTGACTATACTCATCACTCCCAGCAGATAATGAATGTCTTCATCAGTTACTGTACTAGGTGCATGGATAATAATCCCTGTGAGAAACTCACACAGAAAACAGATCATTAAAATACAGTAAGTATGTTGCTAGTCATATTAGAAATTTTCAAATAAAAGCTCAATTTACTTGCCTTTCATAAAGTTTACACTTGGTTAAATAGGTGACACTCTAAAATTTGTTGAGATGACCCTACTTACCCTTCCTGCCTTATTACCCATTGCTGGCCCATAGTTACTCTCTAGTATGGCAACTGAAATTCTATTTATCTGTCCTATGGATTCCCATCTTTGCCTGTCATTCTTTCCCCTTGCTATGTCAGTAATCCTATTTCTCGCTGCTTAATTATAACTATCCTTCAGGACCCTGGCCAAATATATCCACTGAATATTATTTTATTGGGCTTCTACTGCAATATAAGGCAATGTACTATCCCTGTAAGGCCTCAAAGATGCATAGTAAATAATCTTAAAAAACTACCTGATCTCTTCTGAACTGCAGTGCTTATACTTTCACTGATCTATATTTCATATTACTGGGTTATTTTCCCCTAGTTCATCTAAACCTCACTGGTTCAACAACTGCCTGTATCTGTTTTAAGTCTCCTCACCCTCACCACTACACCATAAACTCCCTGAGTGTTGAGTCCCCTATGTCAACAGTAATTGAACACAGTAGGGCAATATTTGCTGAATGAATAAATGCCTAGTAATCCTTCAACAACCCACAGGGACTAAATTTCTGAAGAGCTCTAACAGTTGGTCAAACATTCGGCAAATTCAGGACCTCATGGATCAGCATCAGAACATCGTCACACAGCGAGTTGGTGGGACCCCACCCAGAGCCCCAGGACCCTGGCAGGTGAGGGGAGTGGAATAGGGACGGTGGCCTGCCGGAAAGCTCAGGGCCTGGCCAGAGAGCGTGGTCACTGTGAGGTCCCTGGACTGTACCCGTGTGGGGGACACGGACCCTGTGTGACCAGGTCAGCTGAGTCTTCAAGAGAAACTAAAATCCACATTTGTAAGGAATACCATATAAGCCTTCAATCTTGCCAGTTTGAATCCACCCTTCACACCACTGTCAAAATAATCCCTTCTAAATTGTAAATCTTTTTTACGTTAAGTTGTAAAAGTTTCCAAGGAACGAACGTTCCACCGAATCACTCTGGAAAGGCAGGAGACCCTGAATACATGCCGCAAAAGCTCAAGGGGCATCCCTGAACGATTCACTGAAAAAAACTTTTTATTTCTGCTCACTGGCTTGCTCGAGAACACAAAATAGTGTTAAATATGCATATTTTAAACCAGGTATTAAAAAGTTCTGGAAAACATTCACTTCCAAAACAAACAAGCTCTGGAAGGTAACCCTCTTCCCAATTACCTATAACTGCTATGGGAAAACTGCTGCAAGCACCAAGAACACCAACCACAGATACTCCTGAAATATTTGCTGAATGTATCAATGAACTGAGACTGCTTCTAAGTTATATGTTACACAGACTCTCTTTTTTTTAAAGATTTTATTTATTTATTTGAGACAGACAGAATGAGAGAGAGCACATGAGAGGGGGGAGGGTCAGAGGGAGAAGCAGACTCCCTGCCGAGCAGGGAGCCCGGATGCGGGACTCAATCCAGAGACTCCAGGATCATGACCTGAGCCAAAGACAGTTGCCCAACCAACTGAGCCACCCGGGCACCCTACACAGACTCTTTTTATGAGTTTTAAACCAACCCATTATGGTCTGGAAACTTGCAACTGCAAGATGACGCCCTGTGCCTTTACAGTTTCACAGGGCCTAAGCAAGACATTGTACTGCCTAGATATTCATCTGCTACATATTAAGAAGGTGGGGCCCAAACCAATCTATTTCCCATTCTACTCCTCACACCTGGGCCACAAAAGCTAAGAGGTAAGTAATTCCCAGTTCCATTCTTTTGTTAAAGGGAGATGACCTGATACATGAATACCTACAAAAGTGACTGGATTTTTAATTTTTGGTAAGCAAATGTAAAAACCTTTTTTCAAAACTGCAACTGACAAAAATCAATGTTGGTGAGAGATTTCAATACTGATTACTCCCAACCTCTATCTCCAGCCTAGGCCTCTCCCATGAGCTTCAGTTATAGTAATCACAAAAACGACTATCATTTATTGAGTACATAGTCTGTATCTAGCACAAGGCTAAGTGGTTTACATATAAACTCATTTAATCCAATCAAAATTCCTATTGAGAAGGTATTACTGACTCCATTTCATAGATGAAACTGAGGTACAGTGGTGAGCCCTCTTCCCAAATTACCTCCCGTTAGGCTACACAAGTAATAAATGGCCAAGGCGGAATTCTAACCTGGGCAGCAGGGCTTCAAAGTGCACTTCTCAATCAATGATACACAATCTCCTCTGTTCACCGGCCTGACGGAGACCTCACAGGTTTTTCTCAAACTCAACACATTTAAACTTTACTCCTCATCTTCTTTCAACCTGCTTCCCCTACATTCTAACCACGATATTCACCAACGCTAAAAACCTCGAAGTCCTTCCCTTTCCTTCCTTCCGTACTCTGACCCCATTCAAGCCATCGCGAAAAACCGTTGATTCTGTTTTGTTAACATAAGTGAATCTGACCCCCTTTTTACCACTACCCTATTTCAGGTCCTCGTCTTTGGACTAAATTGTTGAAATTGCCTTTTAGTGCGTCTCCTTGCCTTCAATCTTGCCAGTTTGAATCCACCCTTCACACCACTGTCAAAATAATCCCTTCTAAATCGTAAATCTTAAGTTTTCAAGGAACGAACATTCCACCGAATCACTCTGGAAAGGCAGGAGACCCTGAATACGTGCCGCAAAAGCTCAAGGGGCATCCCTGAACGATTCATTGAAAAAAATTTTTTATTTCTGCTCACTGGCTTGCTCAGGAACCACAGCTCTTAATACAGCCACCACGCTGACTTAAGTATTCCGCCGAAAGCAGTGCTTTTGAGGATCGCTTGTACCTAAAACTTCCGCCCCAAACACGTCTCCATCACTCACTCGAAGCCGCGGTCCAGGGAATTTTTCTGACAAAAGCCACGGGCCGGCTAACACTCGTACGCAGCGCCACAGCCCCCCTCACTGCTGAAGCCGCCATCTTTAGATCGAGGGCCTCTGTGACCTGTGGTCGCGACCCCGGAAGAATCTGGCGAATCTGGGGCACGCAATCTGCTTCCGGGTCAGAAGAGACCGGACAACGACATGGGGAAGATGGCGGCGGCCGTGGGCTCTGTAGCGACGCTGGCTGCAGAGCCGCGGGAGGACGCCTTTCGGAAGCTTTTCCGCTTCTACCGTCAGAGCCGCCCTGGGACCGCAGACCTGGGAGCGGTCATTGACTTCTCGGCGGCCCACGCAGCCCGCGGGACGGGGCCTAGTGCCCGCAAGGTACGGACAGAGGAGCGGCCCGCGCCCCCGGTCGCCTCGCCTCGCTCTTGGAGGGGCTTCAGGGTCCTCACCTCTTTTCGCGTCCAGACTGAGTGTTACTGAGTAATTCCCGCTCTACATGGGCGCGGAGTTTAACTGTCCACGAAGCGTCACACTTTGACGGTGAAGCTCTGTGCTGCCGGTTCCTTCACGCGGCCGCGGCCTCAGAGAATGCCTGGGAATTGGTGTTCATTCCTAACATTAACTGTCCATTTGCATCTCTACTTCGATTTGTGTAAAAACCCATACATCGTATTCGTAGATGTTAGGATAGCGCTCTGCAACTTGAAAAAAACAACTACCCGAGTAGTCCCTGAACAGAAAGGGATCGATGTTGTTGGTTAAACCGTTGTCCATAAAACTGGTCCCTGTCGTCTCTGGGCCCTTTTAGAAAGAGGGCGTTGAGAGATTCAGATGATTTCTCCACCTTTGAAAGTAAAAGGCAAACGAATCCGAACGCTATCCATTATTTCTACCTTTCCCCATGGGAAGTAAGAAAAGCAACATAAAGGAGGACAGGGGGGCACAGGGAAAATCACAACTATACTATAATGAGTAATTTCTTTACAGTCGCTGTAACACTGAGGATCCCTGGTCCCTTAATTTGGCCTTGGTGTTGTCCACAGATGGCTGGATGAAGGATTATTTCTAAGCTTAGTATAGCTCTCAAAATCGAATAGCTATAGCTATTTGTCTGGAACTTCGTTTGTTAGCAGAAATGGTCTTAGGGTTGTCAAAATAGCATGCAGAAAGCTCTCTAAGAATAATGTACATGGGTCAGATCCTCATTCAGTTCCTTTTGCCTGTATTTTGCGGCAGTACTTAAATACTTTTAGAAGGGGCGCCTTTGTTGCTCATTCAGTTAAGCATCTGACTCGATTTCAGCTCAGGTCATGATCTCAAGGTAGTGATATCCGCACTGAGCATGGAGCCTGCATAAAATTCTCTCCTCCTCCCTCTGCCTACCCTGCTGTGCTTGCACGAGCTCTCTGTCTCTTAAAAATACTTTTAGTCAGGGCGCCTGGGTGGCTCAGTTGGTTAAGTGGCCGCCTTCGGCTCAGGCCATGATCCCAGAGTCCTGGGATGGAACCCCATTGGGCTCCCTGCTCAGCGGGGAGCCTGCTTTTCCCTCCCCCACACCACCTGCTTGTGTTCCCTCTCTCGCTGTCTCGCTCTCTGTCAAATAAATAAAACCTTAAGAAAAAAATACTTTTAGTCTCTGAGAAGAAAATATTGTCTAGCACTGTATCTAAAACAGTAAGCACTCAATAAATACACTATCCATTGAGTACATAAAAACTTGGGTGTTTAGGGGCACCTGTGTGGATCTGTTGGTTAAGCCTCTGCCTTTGGCTCAGGTCATGAGCCCTGCTCAGCAGGGAATCTGCTTCTTCCTCTCACTCTCACTGTGCTCTCCTTCTCTGTCTTTCCCTTTAAAAAAAAAAAAACTTGGCTGTTTAGTTCTTAAGCTCAAAACAGATTGAAGGTAGCGAACTGGAGAAGAAAGTTGCTATGAGAGCAACTAATGAGCAGTGGAGAAAGCATGGCTAACGGGCAAGGGTGGTGCAGGACTTTTTTTTAAAGACTCAGAGGTTTGTTTCAGCTTAGCGTGGAGAATAAGTCCACAGACTTACTTCAGATATGAGGGTGTTGCTGAATTACAGTGCATTACTAAGTATGGTCTATCTGAGAGATCATTGTAAAATGTTTGAAATAAAAACATCTTATCAGTACCTGAAACAACTGGCTGGTCAGGCCTCTCAGAGAGTTCCAGATAGCCATTTTATTACAGAGACTGGTAATACACAGCAACTAGTTGGTATTTTTTTCTGGAAATCTCTACACTTGGTGAAGTTAATAGGATAAGAGATCATACCTTTTTGGAAGAGAACATTTGATGTATACTAAGGCAAGCCAGACTCTTTAAGTTTATTATTAATGGAGGAATAAAGGTTTTTGTTTTCTGAATGTCCTTTAGTGACTGAATATTGGATCCCTTAACCTATTTAATGAGCCATCCATAAGGTGCTCTCATATGCAAAGAAAACTTCATGAGCCCCTGAAAGACTTAATTTCTCAGTAATTAACAAAGGCAAAAGCTCTGGGCTTCAGTTTGAAGTTTCATCTAAAAGAGAATAAATATTATACTTTCAGCAAACAGGGTTTCCAGTTTTACTGAAACAGTTGTTCTGTCTGGTTGGAGCATTCGCTTCCATTCTCTTAACCTCCCCTGCCTGATGTTCCTCATAGGTCTGTTTAAACACCAACTGTATACAAGTGCCTCAGAAGCATTATTGTTGGGCCGAATTGAGGTGAACAGAATTTTGACTGAGGATATTTCAGGACATCTCTCATGATTTAGAGTTTTACAAGAAATCCACAAAGGTGTGGGGTCATACAGAAAGGTAGTCTTGAAGGCCAAAATCAGTCTGCTTCTCATACTGCTTAATTTTATATTGCTTTCTAGTGTTTATTAGTATATACATGAAAAAACTGAGGCTCTAAGAAGTTAAGTGACTTATCGAAGTCTTACATCAAGTAAGTGGCAGAACTAAGTTTAGGAGCCCAGACTTAGGACTCCTAATTTTGCCTCATACTAGAAATATCTTTAGAAGTTTGAGATTCTCAGATCTGACCTGCAAAATAGCTTTAGCGCGCCAACTTCTCTTTCCTTCCTGCCAGGTGGTTAGATCTCAGCTGAGTGTATCTTCCGTCAGTGACCACGATGCACATAGAGCAGGACTTCAGCCAGTCAGCAAGTGGCAAGCCTATGGACTCCAAGGCTATCCTGGTGAGTGCAGCTGACCTCAGAAGACAAAATCATATAATCATTTGTCTAATTTCAGGAGAGGAGTTGTAAGCAGGTAAATAGACAAAGGGGAAAACTAAACACAGAAATATTTCACTCCCCAACTCTTTTTAAATCTGCCTCATCTAAGATTTCCATTTATTTAGCATTCCCAAAGGTTAGAACAGGAGTCAGTTGTGCCTACCTTAAGTGCAGAAAATGACACACCAGGTACAAATCAAAAATTAGCACCTTGACTCTGGGCTCCCTGCCACTACTCCACAAACACCTACTCTGGCAGAAGAACCGCTTTGAATGATGGAACAATTCATAATGGTCGCTCTAATCACAAAGTCTCTCTGTTCTCGTGTGGCAAAAAAAAGAAAAACAACTTAAAAATTGTTGCTATTATTAAGGCTGAGCTTTTGAAAAGAACATTAGTTAATGAGATCAGAAGCCCTAATAGACTAAATAATTTAGCATTTTGAACTTCAATAATATTGGGTAGCTCACCTTACAGACCTAGAAATTAAGAACATAATGAAAAATGGGTAACGTTTTTAGTCTTTTTTTTGAGTAAACGCTACCCCCAGTTTGGGGCCCAAACTCACACCCCAAGATGAGCGTCGCAGACTGAGCCAGCCAAGCGCCCTTAATCTTTTTTTCTTTTAGGATTATGGGGCTATTGTAGATTAAATATTATGAACTATTTAGAAAATAGAGGGGTGCCTGGGTGGCTCAGTCGGTTAAGCGGCTGCCTTCGGCTCAGGTCCTGGGATCAAGACCCGTATTAGGCTCCCTGCTCAGTGGGGAGCCTGCTTCTCCCCCTGACCCTCCCCCTTCTCATGCTCTCATTCTCTCAAATTACATTAATTAAATAAAAAAGAAAATACAGAAATGCCTTATTTGGTCAAATAATCTTTTATCTGTCATCCTTTTTCTTGGAGAGGACATAAAGAAAAAAATAACATTGTATTTTGTGATTTCAAATACAGATTAAAAGCAAGAAAAAAATCCCTAAAAACTAATTTTCATTATGCCATGGGCCAGGTCTGTGTTACAGCTCTTAATACATTATGACCACTGTACATTTGTTAATAACATAGGATGATATAACAGTTTCAATACTTCCCTAAAAGGCCTCATGCACTTCAGTTCTTCGTGAAAGAGTAGTCAGATGATGGCTTTTATGTATGAAAGCGTGGCTTCCCGTGAGTTTGGGTGAATGAGGAGTGTGCATCACCAGTAGTCTTTTATGTACTTTTTGTTCTTGAAGGCTGCCCTTGACCTTTCAGGCCTACCTCCTGTTTTCAAGGCCTTATTTCTCTGTTTCCATGCCCTCTTTTCTTAACAAGTTGTTAAGACCACAGAGTTATCGATCCCACTTTGGTTTATCTATTGTCTAAATAGGTGTATTGATTTTGAGGTTTTCTAGGATTTCACACTTAGGCCACATTTTGTGAGTTGGTACCTCATTATGTCCTTAGAGACTTCATTCTGTCCTCCCTGACATTTGAAGCTGTATTTAATAGAAGTGTAATGTCCAGAACATGGGAAATGACCGTCTCTTATTCAGACTTGATCAGAAGGATTGTGTTTACTTCTGGATTCTGCTTGTTGTGAAGGAACTTGAGTAATCACGACCTGTCCTTCAAAGAATGAGCAGGAAGTCATGGGTCTGAAAGAAGAATAAAGCTTAGAGGGAACCTGACAGCATCTAACATTTGAAAGGTTGTCATACACACAAAGGGATGGGAGCATTATATACTAGCGGTTAAGCCTCTGACATGAGGCTACCTGGGTTCAAGTCGTGGCTCTCCCATCCACTGTATGACCTTGGGCAAGTTTCTTAATCTTTCTTGGCCTCAGTTTCCTGATAAGTAAAATGTGTATAAAAAGGTGCTCACTTTGTAAGGTTATTGTGAAGATTAAATGTGAGTACATTGTAAAGTACTTAAGCCCATGCCTGGCACATAGTAAATGATTGATAAATGTTAACTGGAAAACTAGAAGGTATTTTTGAAGAATGAGAAACTAATTTGGGGGTTGCTCTGTGTGTTCAAACCTAAGATCAATGCATGAAAATTAAAAGGCAAATTCAATAAAAGAAAGGCAACAGTTATCTAGAGTGGACTGCCTAAAAAGGTATTCATCTTCCTGTCACTGGGTCAGTGGTATTCTTCCTTTAATCTGATATTTTAGGGAATGTTATAATCTTTATTCTGTGAAATAATGCTGATAAGTGGGTAAGTTGGGGGGTTTTTCGTATCTTTTTTTTTTCCTCTCAAAATATTGACAGTCCTGTCACACTCTTAAATTACTTGGAGAATTTTGTTGGTGCATGAAATGCAAAAGTGGCCTCCACACTCAGAAACAAATGTTCTTACTCCTGTCCTCCAATTTTAGAGGAACACCTTCTGTTCAAAGCCAGGCCCTTCACCTTTTCGATCCCACATGCTTTCACCCCTTCCAGCTTTCAAGACCTTGCTCTGCTCCTTTCCTTTCTTCTGTTTTCAACCAGTTTCTCTCTGCCGGTTCTTTCGCATTATCTGTAAGCATGCTTAGGCCTTTCCCAACCCTAAAAACCATAAACTCTCCCCTTAAATTCTTTATTCTTCTATGGCTGCTCTTCAACCTTTGTTTCCTTTCATAGCCAGGCTTCCGCAAGGCATTGTCTGCATAGCAGTCTCTGCTGTCCTGTCTCCAGGGGCTTCACTAAGGACAGTTTTTCATCTCTAATTCTTAAGAAAGTACATAGTGTGTGTTTGTTAAATGGATCCTTACCCTGCATAGAATTCCAGGTAAATATTGTTATTCATCTTTGCCACAGGAGAAGAACGACATTAAATTACTTTCCAGGTCCCAGAAGATCTTTTCAGCACACATGCTGTAGGTATCTGCGTCATGCCATACTGAGTGGATGTACTTCACAGCCTCTTTCTTCCCTGTTCTGTCAGTCAGATTTCAGTCATAGGCAGAAGTCACACCAGTTATTTTAGCTGAGGGAACTTAATATAAGAATTGTTACCCAGATACTGGACAACAAAGAAGGCCAAGGGGGGATGCTGAGCTATCACAGGTAGTAATTGCAGGAAGCAGCTACCACCTTTATAAACGATAAGTACCTGGTGCAGATTTGAGCGGTGACTTTTGACATTACCAATTCTAAAGTTCGCTTTGGGGTAACAGTTGATGGTTGTGGAATATTTGTTTCTCTTGAGAATTTTTTTCTTTCTTCCCTTTCTCTAAAATCGGAGAATAGGGATGAGACCATTTACTTATAAATGTGGAAGCCACAAAACATGAGCAAAAGGAGATAGGGAATAAAGTAGTGGGTATAAGGATGTCAGCAAAAATAAATTATATCAATAACTGATGGAGAATTTCCTCCTCTCCTTTTTTCCCCACCTGTCCTTTTGTATAGGATTTATTTTTATCCCAAACCCCTTCCTCCCAGGTTACCAGTGGCACTGGGTGAAGCAGTGCCTTAAGTTATATTCCCAGAAACCAAATGTGTGTAACCTAGACAAGCACATGACCCAAGAAGAGACTCAGGACCTCTGGGAACAGAGCAAAGAGTTTCTGAGGTAAGTGTTCATATTCAACTCGGCTCACTGCACATCTTTAGGGGACCTACTCCAGAACAATGCAGTGAAAGTAACTGACCTGTTTCTTCCTTGTTTCCATGCAAAAACAGCACAATTATATTCTTTCCCTGGGAACATTTGGACAGATGCTTTGACAGTTACATTCGATTGAGATCCATTTTGAAGATTTCCTTATCATAGCTTGAATCTCGAGTTCATCCTCATTAATCATCAGCTGGTTCATTTTCATTCAGCTTCAGCCCTTTTTCTACTTAAAGTGAGTTCCAGGAGCACCTGGCTGGCTCAGATGGTAGAGCATGCAACTCTTGATTTTGGGGTTGTGAGTTCGAGCCCCACATTGGGTTTGGAGATCACTTAAAAAAATACCAAGTCTTTAAAAAAAATAAACAACGTGAGTTCCTTTGTTATCCTGGAAAAATTTAATACTAAAAGCTCTTTATTTCTACGCTCCTAGATGAACTCAGTGCCACTAGCAGTTTTTTAGTTATTCCTCATGAGAACTAATGTTTGCATGTTAATGTTGAATCAACCTTTATTCATTCACAAATATATAATTTTTTTAAAGTCAGGTGCCCCATCATTCCACAAATATTTATTGAGGGTTAATTGTGTACCAGGCATGATGCTAAGCACTGGAGATACAACGATTCATAGGACACTGGCTTTGCTGGCTTTGTACTCAGGAGTGCATGGTCTATGGCAGGAACTCAGTGTCAACAGGAATAATTCTAATAGAGCTTAGAAAGTGTTAGAGTAAGTGTTTAGAAAAATGCTATGGGGGCCAGAGGGAGAAATAATTCCTCTAGGCAGAAAGAAGTGTCAACGAAGAAGAAAATACTTTTTAATTGGGTCTATTATCCTCTTTCTCCTCTGTCCATTTGAACTGGGTCTTCAAAAATGATTAGGAGTTTCCTTGTCAGAAGAGCAAGAAGGCTGTTTGGGGTAGAGAGAGCAGACGGAGCAAAGAGGTAATATTCAAGGCACAATAAGTTCTGTAAAATAGTGTAGAATGTGGGAGTTCATGTGTTTATTCAACAAATACCTGTTGAGTTTCTACCATACGTCAGATACTGTGCTTGAGTGTTAGAGATTCAACAACAGATAAGACACAGTTCCTGCTTTCAAGGAATTTGTAGGTTAGTTGAGGGCAGAGACATATAATTAAATAGTTTGGCAGGTACAGAGATAGAGTTTATAAGATATTATGGGAATAGTGGCTAGGTTGGAGGTAGTTTATAGAAGATGCTTCCTGGAAGTGATGGATAGAATTGGCGAGAGATGAAGCAGAAGAAGTAGGTTAGGGCCAGACTATAAAGGCTTTAGTGAGGGCGCCTGGGTGGCTCAGTCGTTGGATGTCTGCCTTCGGCTTGGGTCATGATCCCGGAGTCCTGGGATCGGGTCCCGCATCAGGCTCCCTGCTCGGCGGGAAGCCTGCGTCTGTCCCTCTCCCACTCCCCCTGCTTGTGTTCCTGCCCTCGCTATCTCTCTCTCTGTCAAATAAATAAATAAAATCTTTAAAAAAGAAAAAAAGGCTTTAGTGACGTAAATAAAGCACTAGGTCTAGAGTCCGATCACCTGGGCTCACATTCCTGGTCTGCCACTTACTAGGTATGTAAATTTGAGCAAGTTTCTTAACGTTTCTGTGCCTCATAGTAGTCCTTCCCTTATTTAACAGTGTGAGGATTAAACAAGGTAATATGCGAGAAATCTTCAGAACAGCCCATTAAAACCACTGTGCTGGCTTTGTGTGTTCTCTTTGGACTTGGGATCTCTAATGGTTGTTTTCAGAAAACTGTGTCATACTAATTCCAACAGGGGAAATAGAAGATTTCCTTTAGTTGAAAGGGAAAGGAAAACTAAAATTCATTGGTTTTCCTTTAAAGCCTTCTTGGTCTGCAGGTTATGAGAAAGACAGGAGCAGTGGGAAACGCCCTCTATAAGCTCTTAATGATGTCTTCTTTAGAACTGAGTAAAGGAAGATCATGGTTGAGTGAAATTAGAGAGCTTAGAGTTTGAGGTTAAACCACCCTGTATTTTCAAGTAATTGATTTTTTTTTCCTTCTGACAAATGACTGCAGAAGTCCCAGTTGTCATCTTCTAAGATAATTCAGATGAACCTCTTTAATAAATCATCCTGTGAACAATGGTGAGGGGCTTTTTCTGTTTTTTTGTTTTGGTTTTTTTGTCTTGCGAATTAGTAAAAATAAAAAATGTGGTGGTCCTACCTTCTGTTGTCAAGGGTTGGAAGAAAGTGGTGGCGTCGAAAATCGATTAGGACACTAGTTCTCCTGTCACTGTGATACGTGTTTTGGTTTCCTCATCTGGGAAACGAAGGGATTGGACTGGATAAGCCATTGCAGGTGGGCAGATTATGGTTGTAGTCACTTGAACAGCATGTCAGCTCTCCCCACTTTCCCAGAGCAGGTCAGAAAGGAAGAGGGTCTGTCATTGAAGAAGATTCCCTAGAGATTCTGATTATTGACCATAATACCCACTTTGAGAACTGCTGAGCCAGAGGCCCTCTAAAGATCCTTTGCACTTTAACTTTCTAGGTTTCTGTGGTCAAGGAAGAAGAAACTTTGAAGTAGGAAATGAAGAAGAAATACTTGAACTTAGAGGGAAAAATAAGTTTGTTCACAAAAGTAGGGCACCTCAGTTCTGTTTTGTTCAGAGTTTCTTGTGAGTGAATAGTGTAGCTAGAGATTCTTGCACAAGTTTACGGTAGTTAGGTATAAGCATCTTCATTGCAGCATTGTTCGTAATGGGAAAAACTGAGAAACAAGCTAAGTGTCTGTCAGCAAGAGATCAGATAAATCAAGTATGACATACCCCAGTAGTAGAATGCAGCCACAATACAGCCATTCAAAAATCTTAAATCCAACTCTTTAGCAAATATAGGAGGACTACCATCATAATAAATAAAATCAATTTTCAGCATCTCTGTCACGGCCGCCTTAGTCTGAGCCACCATCATTTACTGCATTAGCCTCCTAGCGTGTCTCCTTGTGTCTGTTCTCATGCCTCTTCAGTCTGTTTTCTTTTTTTTAAGATTTTATTTATTTGAGAGAGTGCGTGCACGTGCATGAGCTGGGGGGGTGGGGGGCGGCAGACAGAGGGACAAGTAAGGGCTCTATCCCAGGGCCCCCATAAGCCAAAGTCAGACATTTAACTGACCAAGCCATCCAGGCACCCCTCTTCAGTCTGTTTTCTGATTGAGTATAGAAATTCTGGCACTTCGGGGCCCCTGGGTGGCTCAGTCGGTTAAGCGACTGCCTTCGGCTCGGGTCATGATCCTGGAGTCCCGGGATCGAGTCCCATATCGGGCTCCCTGCTCAGCAGGGAGTCTGCTTCTCCCTCTGACCCTCTTCCTTCTCGTGCTCTCTATCTCTCATTCTCTCTCTCTCTCAAATAAGTAAATAAAATCTTTACAAAAAAAAAAGAAATTCTGGCACTTCTCTTACGGTTTCTCCTCTGCAGTACTGCAGTTCAGTTTTGTTGCAGTCATTCAGCATTCAGAGTCGACAAGGACATCACAAGTTGAGGGCATGGTCTCCAACCAAGCCACCCTCACTTAGGACACCAGCCACAAGTTTGGGAGATCCCAAGCTACCCACACTTCTGACAAACTGGTTACAAATTCGGGGAGTTCCCATGACCCCCTCAGGTTCATAACTCAAATAAAACAACTCACAGAATTTAAGAAAGAAATTCAAGTATGTAATCATACTTACAATTACAGTTTTATTATAAAAGTTGCAAATCAGGACCCTCCCAATGAGGAAACATGTAGGGTGACGTCTGGGAGGGTCCTGAATGCAGAGCTTCCATGGAATCAGGATGTGTCACCTTCCCAGGAAGCTCTCCCAAACCTAGTATTCAGTTTTTTTGGAGGGCTTCGCTACTTAAGCACGATTGATTAAATTATTAGTCACATGATTTTATTTAGTTTCTAGCCCCCGACCCAGGCCCTGAGGTTTAGCTAGTATCACTTGACTGAAAGCCTCAATCCCTCTAATCACATGATTGGTTTTTCTAGCCTGACAAGCTCACATCCTGAGTCATCTCCTTAGCATAAACTTAGCTGTGGTCATAGGGCCCACTGTGAATAACAAAGATACTCCTATTCCTAGATACTAATATTATATTAGTTCGAGGTGTATAACAATTTGGTATCTATATATTGCAAAACGATTATCTTGGTGAGTTAAGTCACCTCACCTAGTTATAAAAATTTTTTTTGTGTGTGATGAGAATAAGATTTACTCTTTTAGCAAATACACAATACAGTTTTGTTAACTATAGTCACCACGTTTTACATTAGATCCTCAGAACTTATTTATCTACACCCACCTACCCTCACCTTTGGCAGCTTTCAGTCTTTTCTGTTTCTGCAAGTTTAGATTTTTTAGTTACCACATACAAGTAAGATCATACAGTGTTTGTCTTTCCCTAACATTTCACTTAGCACAATGCACTTAAGGTTCATGTTATCACAAATGACAGGATTTCCTTTTTTGTGGCTGAATGGTATTCATTTATATGTTGTGTATCATGTTTTCTTTATCCATTCATCCATCACTGGACACTCAGGTTGTTTCTTTGTCTTGGCTGTTGGAATTATTTATCTATAACAGTGGAGGTTCCTCCAAAAGTTAAAAATAGGATTACCAGGGGCACCTGGGTGGTTCGGTCAGTTAAGCGTCTGCCTTCAGCTCAGATCATAATTTCAGGGTCCTGGGATCAAGCCCCACATCGGGCTCCCTGCTCAGCAAGGAGTCTGCTCGTCTCTCTCCCTCTGCCTGCCGCTCCCCCTGCTTGTGCATTCTCTCCTTCTGTCAAATAAAATCTAAAAAAAAAAAAAAAAATCCACTGTTACTTAAAAAAAAAAAATGGATTACCAGAGGATACAGCAATTTCACTTCTGGGTATATAACCAAAGGGGAAAAAAATCAGTGTCTCAAAAAAATACCTGCCTCTCCATGTTCATTGTAACATTGTATACTAAGATTTTTAATGGAAATAGGATTGGAGGACGAGAAGGAGCAGAGACAATCCATAGTGTAGCTTGGGGGTTAATGTTTTTGAAATGCGTGTGGAGTATCCCGGCAAAGATGTCCAGTATGCCTTTGGAAATAGGAAACTGAGCTTAGGAGTGAAGTCAGAGAGAGGGAGATGTGTCAGTTACATATAAAGACCATAGTAAAGTGGGGTGTGCAGCTGGCTCAGTCAGTAGGCAACTCTTGATCTTGGGATCATGAGTTTGAGCCCCACATTGGATGTAGAGATTACTTAAGTAAAACTTTAAAAAAATGATTGAAAAACAAGTATCTGTAATAGGATTTTTAAGGCCTTTTATCATAAACAACCTTAGACATTTTCTGCCCTGAGTACTTTTGCTTTCATAATGATTCACTAAAGTCCCTTGAAGCAAGGAAGAAAAGGAAATTCCAGTGCTTAGTTATGACACTCAAACTACCACTGCACGAAGAACGGACAAGCAGGAGAGTTCATTTCCACCCAGTTAGGGTGCAGTTGAAAGCAGCATCAGAGGACATGATTGCTGAGAGAAATACCAGCACTTACATGAAGCACTTATCCATGACAGAAAGTGAGCAAATTGCTGTGTGGGCACATTCACCAGGGGAGAAGGTGGCCAGCTCACCCGTCCGTCATCCTCCTGCCAGTGCTTGGTGCTGCAGCAGGGGCAGGGAGCATAGCGTGTTTTCTCTTTGCAGTGAGAACCAATAATCAGGGTCATACTTGCTTGAAAACATTCTTTTGGTTAATTGGATAAAGATTTAAAGTTAGGTGCCAACATATCCCTTGCATTCTTAGCATGGATATGGCAGCTCTATTGGCACTGAGCCTTCCTGGCCTCCGTTTGGACAATTCAGGTTTAAAAAGAAAACAGCCCATCCCCCTTATTAATCTGTCAGTATTGCCTGCTTGAAAATCATCTGGGAGTGGGTTAAACTTGGTTTTGGCCTTAAACTATTCAGTGTTCAAGACTGAATTTTTTGGAATCTTTGTTACTCAAAGCCCACAGGGACCAGAATGGTCCCTAAGTAGTGCTGAGACAGGAAGTAGCTAGTGTTGGCCAGTCCTGCTCTCACATCTTGAAGGCCAGTCTTAATAATTATTGTTACTTTCCTACCAGAAATTCCATACAAAGAAAAGAATTGAAATTGTGTTCGCAGAGGGGTGGAGTCTTATACCTACATGGCTCTAACACATACACAAAATGTGTGTATGTATAGAATCATCCTCAAAATGGCGCACTCAATGATCACAGCTATTCTTTCACTACTCAAGTCTTTAAGCTTTTTTTTTCCTTTTTGTAAGGTGGCCTGGGCTTAATGGTTTTATACCCTTACACGGGCCCCCTCAATAATACAAGGCAAAGCCCAAAGTCTTCCTTATAGTGATACAATTAAGGTAGAAAAGAGATGTTCTTTTGGTTTTCTAAAAGAACAGATTTTAAAAGGTGTAATATAGGATGATTCTATTCATGCTTATTACTATGCTTTTGATGATTTTATTGTTAACAATACCACAAACCTGTTAATTGTAATAGTGTATGCCCCATTCTTAAGGAACATTAGACTGACTCTCAATGGAAAAGCAGCTTGGTGATACTATTGTCGAATGTCTAAAATACCATTGCCTTCTGAATTTTTTTTTTCATTTATTTATTTTAGAGAGGGTGGTGGAGGGGAGGGGCAGAGGGAGAGGGAGAGAGAGAATCTCAAGCAGGCTCCATCCTCAGTGTGGAGTCTGACGTGGGGCTTGATCTCACAACCCTGAGATCATGACCTGAACCGAAATCAAGAGCAACTCCTTAACTGACTGAGCCACCCAGGTGCCCCCTGAATTATTTTTAGATCCTCGTTGTTACCTTTATTTGTTTAGATTGATCTAATTTTGATTTAATAGTATGAGTTCTCCATCAAGAATAAAATAATCCTTTATTGATCTAGAAAGATGGAAGGTATTTTGTTTTGTTTTTTAATTTTGGCTAGAATAGTGTTTTTCAAAGTGTGGTCCCTCATTCAGCATCCCCATCTCTTGGGAGCTTATTAGAAATGCAGGTTCTTAGGCTCTGTCCTAGACCTGCTGAATCAGAATTTATATGCCTGTGCCCAGCCATTTGAGTTTTAACAAGCCCTCTAGGTGATTCTCCTGACCATTAAAATTTGGAAACCACTTGGCAGAAACTAAGTGGGGTATGCACTATTAACCACAATATTCACATGAATCCAGAAATGAGAGGTCATTCTTATTTTCTATCCCAAGGCTACTAAAATAGCTTATGTTCTCCAGAGGGGATCATCAGGGAGTTCTTTTTTATTTATGTCTTTAGCTGAAGAAACATTGGTAGAACTCAGGTTGTGTTAGTAACTATGCATTCCTTTTTTTTTTCTTTCCAGTTTTTAGTTTTTACACATAGAAAATGTAAATAATTAATGGTAGTTCTACGTGGTAACTGTTCACATCAGCTAGTTGCAGTCACTGGCCACGTATATATATTGTTTCCCCTGAACTGCTAATCATTATCTGTCTTCTCATGTGCAAGGTGTCCCCAAGACCATACCCAATTTTGGTGATTCACCAGGAGGGCTCAGCACATAGCTGTCTTCATGGATAAGATTTATTCCAGTTCAAAGAATACAAAGCAAAATCAGTGAAGGGAAAAGACACATTGAGTAAAGTCCTGGGAAAACCAGGCTCAAGCTCCCAGGGTTTTTTCCCAGTGAAGCCACAGAAGGTGTACTTAATTCCCCCAATAACAAGTTGTGACAACATGTGTGAAATGTTGTCTACCAGGGAAGCTTAGTGCCCAGGTTCTTACTAGGGGCTGGTCCCATAGTTTCTGTGTGACACAAACCAAATTCCAGACTCCCAGAAGGAAGGCAGCTGTTTAACATAAACCATACTGTTTTGCATAAAAAGTTTAGGCACGGTGAACAGCAGTTCCGGGAATGGTGTGAACCTCCCCAGATTCCAAGTTCCAGATGCCCGCCAACAGCCAACCTTGCAAGCAGGACTTTCAGAGGATAGCAGTCAGATCTGCTCTGCCTCTTTTCTACACTGCTGTCCTAAGTAAATTGATGTTTGTTCCATTCCTTTTAGCTAGTGGTCTTGATGGATATCTGTGTCATGATGTCCTTAGAATGTAAACTTTGTGAGGACAGATAGCATCTATTCTGTAAGCTCTGTCAGTCAAGATGAGTGCCACTTACAGTGTGAGCCTCTAATAAAACCTTTGCTTCTGCTCATGGGGTATGCAGGTATTGACCACTGCTTCACTGTCTGTTTAAATGCTGGCCATTCTTCAATGCCATGTTCAACTCCCAACTCTGTCATGAGGCCTTAACTGATTAGACAGCTAACTTTGAGCTCTCCTTTTTCTTAATTCCAGTGGTCCTCAAAGTCTTGTGGTATTCAGTTTAGTATAGATTTTATACTGCCTTTAATTTTCCCTTCATTTTTTCTTATACTTATCTGTCATTTCCTGTCAAAATATGAAGTCCTTAAAGCAGTCTAATCTTTTCTTTTTTAAACAGCAGTGGTTCTTGGACAAAAATATTTGTTCATTTGCTGATGTAAATTACATAGGAAAAACAAACCCTAAAATTATCAGGCCTAGCATTCTCGTATTTTTAGACATTTAGAGGTAAATCAAAGAAGCTTCTTCCTCCTTAGAAAAAGAGTAGTTAATCCCATAGATTTGATCAGACAGGATATAATTGCAGAAAGGGCACCTCTCTGTTTTACAGAAGACTGTGTTTGAACAAGGGGATGTCAGAAACCAAATCAATTACAGTGGTCCTTAATTGTTAGCTAAGCCTCAATTATCTAAGCTATGTTAGACAGGGTTGAAGAAGTCATGTTAAACCAGTTATTTTTGATTGTAAACAGTGTATATTTTGCCAAACTTTTTCCCCCAACCTATAATTCTGGGAAGCCACCATCATTATAAACATAGTGATAGTTATGATTAATCATACCTCACTTTCAGCAAACCAAATGGAACATGTTCTATTAGCCAAATTTTCAATTACCCATAGTGCCCTTGGTCCCATTTCCAATGGACGGATAAAGACATTTCTGTGTTGTTCTTGTTTTATCATTATTGAGATGCTGGAGACTTGCCATTTAAAATTGATCCCATTCAGCAGAGGGTTTAGAACCAAGGACTAAAAGTTAGAAGTGCTAACATGGGGGTGCCTGGGTGGCTTAGTTGGTTAAGCATCTGCCTTTGGCTTAGGTCATGTCATGATCGTGGAATCCCGGGATCCAGCCCCACATCGGGCTCCCTGCTCAGTGGGGAGTCTGCTTCTCCTTCTCCCTCAGCGCCCCCCTCCTTGCTTGTGCTCTGTCTCTCCCTCTGACAAATAAATAAATAAAATCTTTAAAAAATAATAATAATATAAAATTGATACTGTTCAGCAGAGGATTTAGAACCAAGGACTAAAAATCAGAAATGCTAACATGGGGGCATAAGTGTCCGACTTGATTTCGTCTTACGTCATGATCTCAGGGTCCTGAGATCGAGCCCTGGGTCCAGCTCCCCACTTAGCAGGGAGTCTGCTTGGGATTCTTTCCCTCTGCCCCTCCCCCGACCACCCCCCCCCAGCACGCACGCACACACACTCTCGCTGTCAAATGAATAAATCTTAAAAAAGAAATGCTAACATGTTTTTTAGTCAACTCATTTGTTCTCACTTCCCCTGTCAAGATCTTTGCTAACAACTTATACCAAGGAATACCAAATTCCATGCATGCAAAGGGCTGTTGCTGCCATTTGAGGTGAATAAATCCTCTTTTGTCTCCAATCTTCACAGGTACAAAGAAGCAAATAAACGGAGACCCCGAAGTTTACTAGAGAAGTTGCGCTGGGTGACCCTAGGCTACCATTATAACTGGGACAGTAAGGTATGCAAATTTCCTTGCAAATTCTATTGTCTTCACTTTTTCACTCCTTGGGCTCAGTAGTTGGATGTCTTCTTGGCCAAGTTTGTAAAGTGTCAGCTTATCCATTTGTGGAAGGATCTCTTTCTTTTATCTCTTAAAATCCTCTCGATAACAGTGTCTCAAGAGGAATGAATAATTTCTCCAAAGAGAAAATTTCTTCATACGCCCTTAGGTTATATCATTTCATCAGAAGTCATTGGTGCTTTCTCTAAGTATGTTTCAGGGGTACAGATTTTTCTTTACTGCATTCAAGAGCAATTCTCAAAATCTTTATTTCCATTATTGTTTAGTGTTTGTTGAGCTTGTATTTTCTTTTTTTTTTTTTAAGATTTTATTTATTTATTTATTTGACAGAGAGAGAGAGAGAGAGAGATCACAAGTAGACAAGCAGACAGAGGGAGAGGGAGAAGCAGGCTCCCTGCTGAGCACGGAGCCCACTGCAGGGCTCAATCCCAGGATGCTGGGATCATGACCTGAGCCAAAGGCAGACGCTTAACTGACTGAGCCACCCAGGCACCCCGAGCTTCTATTTTCTACATAATATCTATTTGGAGTAAAAGGAGCTCCATATACTTCTGGTGTTCTCTGTCAGCTCACAAAAGACACCTTTGCCTGCTATATAAGTTCTGAGCAAGACACAGGTAGGAAAGAATGTCCTGCAGTTAATGAAGTTCAGTGTTTTCTTGAGGTACAATTTCTTCTTTCCTGACCTCCATTCTTCCAAAAGGACCTCCTCTTTAACGGGCAGCCTAGTGCCTCTTGTCTCCATGAGATGTTTGACACCAAGTGGAAGGACTAATTTTGAGAATAAACTGAATGAAGAGATTGGTAAAGACCGTCTTCCTACTAACTAGTTACTTACTAAAAGCTCCATAGTTTCAGTCAACCCGGCTTATTAATAATTAAATTAACTGCTCAAAATAATGATAAATGTTGTTCAAAAATGTTCATGACATACTACTTTCAGTAATGCAGATTTAATGGAAGACTGGATATCTGTGTTTGGGGAAATAGCCAGGTGATTCTCTCTGGGTTAGCCAGCCCGGAGTTGAATCTGGCCTTCCATAGGATAGTGCATGCCTATCCTATGGAAGGGGGGCGTGAGCGTCAAAGGCATAATACCCGCATCGTGATTACAGTGGTGCCGGCTTGTTTTGAGAAGTTAAATACATTAACATGATACATGTTAGCTTATTTTTTATGATGTTATATTTATTGCTGATACTGGTATTCCCCAAGGACTTAAAGTTACTCTCATTTACTAAGAAAAATGTGGAGTGAAAAATTACCGGAAACCCTGAGTGACTCAACAGAGAAAAGAAAGAGAAGTAAGAAGACTAGTGCATATAGATAGTTGGGGATAGGGTTGAAAGCTCACAGAGGTAACCTGGTGCTAGAACAGTACCTCTGACTAGTTGATCTTGTGAAGGACTGAAACTTGAAAGGGTAGAGAAAACCTTATAGTTCTCTAGCTGTATCCTTAGTTTTGGGAAATTAAATGGGAACTCTTCTTATTTGCACTTAAGGAAAAGAAGGAAAAAATAAAACACAGAAATTCCAACTGAAGAGGCTTGGCCATCCTTTAATGGCCTTTCACAAAAGTCTGCCTTAACCTGAAGTTAAAGCTCACTTCTGGCCAGAGCTATGCCCTGTTGCTACAGCTGGGATACGTCAGGGCACTAGCGGAGATGTGAGGCGGAAGTGGATTTGCTGGTGTGGTTTGAGGTTGTTGGGCAAAGGGAGACGCAAGAGCAGCAGCAAGACAGAGGAGGGGCATCAGGCTGCCGCAGGCTTACATGGCCAGCAGCCCTCACCCTGGTCTGCCTAGGAGACTGCCACCTTGTCGTTCTCCTAAACTGCAGGCTTTTGTAGAGAGAGTGAGTGTTCTGCCCTTTGATGGGTTTTGTTTTAAGAGAGGAGAGAGGGATATTGTGATCTTTACATGCTAAAAATAGTCCAGGAAGGTAAATGCTGAAAATTACTTCCATTTTAAGGTCCTGCCTTGACCATGGTATAAGTTAGTTTCAGTTCAGATGTTCTGAGCATGTCATCCCGTCAGACTGACCAGTGAAATTGGCAGTGTGCCATGTTGCAGGCTGAGGGGCCCAAAACCAAACTGGCTGTTGTATTTGAATTGCTTTCTTGCTTTCTTTGTTTTAATATAGGATAGTTCTGGATTTACAGACAGTTGAAAAGATAGTACAGAGTTCCCACACCCAGTTCTCCCTATCAACATCTTACATTATTATGGTACCTTTGTCTCAATTAGTGGACCAATTTAATGCATTATTAAAATGGCGAAGTCCATATTTTATTCATATTTTCTTAGCTTTCATTCAGTTATTTTTAGTTTTTAACTGAGGTCCTTTTTCTGTTCCAAGATACCACATTACATTTAGTCATCATGTGCCTCTTGGCAGTGACAGTTTTGAGTTGCTTTTTTGTCCTATGAGAATGATCCTATTTGGGATTAAAGTGCACCAGAGGGAAACGTAGTAATTGCTTCACAGGTAGACTCCATGCAGGGTGAACTTGTCTGATTTAGCACTGCACAGCATGGTGCCTGCCATGTCCTAGGTGCTCGCAATTTTGAACATTTCCTTATTGGATTACTGGATACCCCAAAAACAGATGGATAAATCATGCTATGTTAGGATTACATGTAAGTCAGATAATTTTAAAGTGGTAATTAATCTTATGTCACAGTTTCCTATTTTCCTGAGATCATTTTTTATTTTTCTTATTTTCCCTACTTTTATCAAAGAAATACTCAGCCGATCATTACACACCTTTCCCTTCTGACCTGGCTTTCCTCTCAGAGCAAGTAGCTACAGCCTGTGGGTTTCAGGGTTTCCGAGCCGAGGCAGGTATCCTGAATTACTACAGATTGGACTCCACCCTGGGAATCCACGTAGACAGATCTGAACTAGATCACTCCAAACCCCTGCTGTCTTTCAGGTAAGCTGGTTCTAGGGATTTGGGATTACTTTCTGTCCCTCATTCCTTATGCTAAAGCATTTCTAGCTAAAATAAATAAAAACATAGGACTTTAAGAAATGGTTGGACTCTATAATCTTTTACTTCTGGGTGTCTTAACAATGTTATCATAAGTAAAATTAGCCTCTTCCTTAAGAGTAGTAACCAAATTAGAGTTAATATTTCTGTGTAAGATGCATGGAGTCCACCTTTTGTATTGAAAGGTATCATTAGTGTCTTTGGAATAGGCAAGTGTAAGGCCATACGGCGAAACGAGCAACCTTTTTGGAATAGGGAAGGGTAAAGCACAGAAGCCTGACTAGTTTACTACCTTGCCTCCCTAAACATAAGTTTAAATTGGGCAAAGTGCTGCAGCTGTAGTTCACAAAGAAAGTGCCTGAACAGTGTCTTCTGTTAATTGCCTTATCTGAACAGGCGGGCTGCCTGGGTGGCTCAGTCAGTTAAGCATCTGCCTTCGGCTCAGGTCATGATTCCAGGGTCCTGGGATCAAGCCCCACATCGGGCTCCCTACTCAGCAGGGGAGTCTGCTTCTCCCTGTCCCTCTGCCCTTGCTCATGTGCTCTCTTTCTTGCTCACTCTCTCTCTCAAATAAATAAATAAAATCTTAAAAAGTGAATGGGCATGATAAATACAGTAAGGGACTCAATTCATTGGAAGGCTTAAATCTTAAAGATGCATCACTAAAACTTAAACCGGTAATATTAAAACTAAATTTTTAATCTGCTTATTTAAGTGCTTCAAATTTTATATTGTATCAGTCCTGTGGGCTATGCTAAGTTCAATCAGCAGATCATGGGTTGGTCACTTAGAGACACAAGCCAAAAGGGAGGGGTCTTAGCACAGATTAAAAAGGAGGATGTGAGAGCAGTAAGTGTCAAGATGAAACTCAAAATGAATGCGGTTGGCAGTAACTTTCCCGGCCGTGGTTAGTAACAGAAACTTACTGTTGTGTATCGTTTTACTTATTTTTGTATAGCTTCGGACAGTCTGCCATCTTTCTCCTGGGTGGCCTCAAAAGAGATGAAGCGCCCACAGCCATGTTTATGCACAGTGGTGACATCATGGTAATGTCAGGTTTCAGCCGCCTGTTGAACCATGCAGTCCCAAGGGTCCTTCCAAGTCCTCAAGGGGAAAGCCTGCCATGCTGCCTAGAGACACCTCTCCCAGCCATCCTCCCCAGAGATTCAGTGGTAGAGCCCTGCTCTGAGGAGGACTGGCAGGTGTGCACCAGCTACTTGAAAACCGCTCGTGTGAACATGACTGTCCGACAGGTACTGGCCACAGACCAGGACTTCCCTTGGGAATCCATGGAGGAGAAGAAAAGAGACATCACCACAGAAGGTTTCTGCCACCTGGACGACAAGAATTGCCAAGTAAAACGAGTGAAGTTAAACCCTGACAGCTGAGACTTGGAGAGCCCGTTCTTTTCCTCAGGCAGGTCTCACAGTAAATGGCCATGCTTTCTTGTATTACCATAGACTCTAGCATCAGGACAAGCCAAAAAGACAGGGAAAAGCTCATCATGGATCATAGTGCTGCCTTGGAACCCATCCTGAAGAGTAAAGCAGTTAGCCACTTTGCTCATGTTGGACATGGTCCAGTCTGGTTAGATGTTGGCACTAATGTATGTGGAAGTCCAAGGAGCTTTGACCTTCCAGAATAGCCTTTCCAGCCTCTGCCATTACCTCTGAGGGAGGTGGGAGTGAGTTTCCATGTTATTGGAGCCTTAAATACCTCAGATTTATTAATGGGAAACCTGACACCCCTGCTGCTACCCCATCTAGTGATTTGTGGTAAAACTGTGGTTCCAGGAACCAACCATTAGTCTCACCTTCGTTGTTCCAGCCATCCAGTGATCTTTTCTTCTGTCTTCTCTGGCTTTCACAGAAAAGTCCCATACACATTAAGACAATGGAACTAGAAACCTCATCTCCTAAGAAAGAAATTAATCACAGCTATCTCTCTTGCCTAAAAGATAAAATATATATAAAGCCAAGGGAAGGGGAGCAGTAGTTTCTCCAGATTTCTTTTAGGTCTAAACTCTTCCTGTTGGCTTTTTAATGCAATTTTAATTGTTGGACTAAAAAAGCCCCAAGGGTGTTCAGTAACTGTTTTCTCCATGAATAAACTTTCTCTCCTTTAAATTAAAGATCTATATCTATCTTTGAGGGTTAGCGAATCTGGGCTTCGTTTTTTCCTGTTTTGACTTGCTGTGTTGTTCATGCTGTGGGAGCCCTCCAGCTGTTCTGCCCTGTGCCATCCCGCTCTGGCCTAAGTCTTCTCTGTGACTGTCTCACAGGAGAGAATATTCTTTGATATTCCAGTCACTGCTGTCTTTTGTGATTGTGAGCAGCTTGAAAAATGCATGATGCACCAAGTTTTAATCTTTGTACCCCCACCAGCTTGACTCACTGTACCCTTAGCTGAGCTGCTTTACATTTCTCAGAGCCTCAGTTTCCTCATCTATGACATGAAGATAGTATTTACTACCATCTTCCATTTCAAATGATAATGGGAGTTTAGTGCTCCTTTCTAGAAACATGGTGTCAGTATTTTATTACTGCATGGACTCTTAGAAACATCGCCTATTGTCTGTGTGGACGACTGGCTGGAAGCCACTTGGATACCTGCTGCTTGCGACAAGACTCGCCACGTCTGTATGTCTCTGCCGGCCTTTTTTCTTCTTAGGAACATTACATATTGAGTTCATATTTTGATACTTGTTTTTTAAGAAATAAAAATTAATACATTTGTCCCTTACGTCTAAATGACCTCAAAACTTAGTGCGTGATGGGAAAATTTTAGATAATTAAATTATTTTAAATAATTAAGTTTAAATGTTTAAAATTACCACTGGAAAAATCCCTTATGTTTTCCATAGTGTACATCATATGGTGACCCACTGGAAACCCACATCCTCTCATTTAGCAAATCCAGTAGGTCAGCCCATCCTTCAGCATTAGAATAGTTTGCTCTTTAGTCAGTTGAGTGTCAGATAAAGGTGCTAACTTGTGTTTAGGAATAATGTGGTGCGAAAAAAGTACATATTCAGACTGTAAACTGACACTCCATGAAGCGAGATATGTGTGCTGTGAGCAGCCTATAGAATCAGGCCAGCCAAGAGAAGAGCAGATTCCGATCTCCCAGCCTATACACACTCCCTCAAGGGATGTGCTGATTGAGTTGGCCAGTGAGGAAAATTGTTTACACCATTAAATTCTCCCGTCTCTCTCATTTTCATTTATTTTTGTGAGGAACCTATAGTTGAAGATCTATAATGCAGTTCTACCTTCACAGTAAGCAGAAAATGATGCAATTGAGGAAAAAGGAAAAATTGGTGATTTTTCCACATTTACATGAGGATGATCCGCCAAGGTTTGTTTTAGTTGTCCACCAGACATTTTCTATGTCAAGAGGCAGCAAATGCTGATGGACCTCCTGTGTTTGTACTGCCCACGGACTAAAAATAGTTTTTACATTTCTAAGTGGCTGGGGAGAAAAAGTCAAGAGAATAATAGTATTTCATGAAAATGAGAAGAAACCAAATTTCTGTGTCCATAAGTAAAGTCTTAATCGGAACACAGTCACACTTATTTAGAGATGACCTGTGGCTGCTCCCTCACACTTGGGTGACAGAGTTGAGTAGTTGCCGCAGACACCATAGAGCCTAAGTGATCTGGCCTTGCACAGAAGAAAGTGTTGGTGGATGCCGGAGAAAGGAAGCTAGACCCCTAGACAGGAACCTCAAATCAGGGAAAGGGGCCAAGGAGATTTTTTTTCCTGACAGTGAAAGTCCCAAATAAGCTCAATATCCAGCAACAGGGAGTTGGTTGACGAAGTTCATGTATTCATTCGGGAAGTGGTTATTGAGCACTGTTTTCTATCAAGAGGCACTGTTCTTTGCAGAAAGTACCTGCATTTGTGGTTCTGTCCTAGTGAGTGTGACATCACCATGCAAGGGAACTCTAGCTGTTTAAAGTTAACGTTTTGGAAGAACACGTAGAGATATGAGAAAATACTCATAGTTTAACGAGAAAAGTCCGTTATGAAACCGTGTGTAATTTTGTATAGAATGTTTACATGTTTTTTTTAAAAACTGAAAGGATAGGCATATACCAAAATGTGAATGATGGTGGGATTACAGTTGATGTTTATTTTGTTCTTTTTCTGTATGTGTGATTTTTTTTTTTCCACATTGAAAATCTTTTGAAATCTTTCTCTTTTAAAGAATAAATGTGGGCGCCTGGGTGGCTCAGTTGGTTAAGCCACTGCCTTCGGCTCAGGTCATGATCCTGGAGTCCCAGGATCGAGTCCCGCATCGGGCTCCCTGCTCGGCAGGGAGTCTGCTTCTCCCTCTGACCCTCTCCCCTCTCATGTGCTCTCTCTCTCTCATTCTTTCTCTCAAATAAATAAATAAAATCTTTAAAAAAAAAAAAAAAGAATAAATGTTTGTGGGGTTTTGGTTGTTTTTGTTTTTTGTTTTTGTTTTTCTTTGAGAAATACTCTGACCTGGTAATTCTACCTCTACCTGAAATCTGTCACTCTCCAAATCCAGGAACATCAACATGGTCTAACAAAAGAGGCTTGTTTGAGGAAAATTTTTATGTAGTAAAATCCTGTATGGCCACTATCAATCATGTCACAGAGACAGATTAAATACATGGAGGAAATGCTCAATATGTTAACTGAGAAAAACAGCTTAAAGCCGGTATGCATTGCATTTTGCCAGTGTTTTTGTATGCACCAAGTGTACATGCACAGAGAAGGCTGGAGGGTTATAGTGTTTTAATATCTCCTAAATTTTCTGCAGCCAGCGTAACAGCTCTTTTGGAGAAGGCCTTTGTGATGCTTTTGGAAGGGAGCGGATCTGGCACACACTGAGCTCAGAGCAGCAGCTTCAAGTGTCCACTCACCTTTGCAAGTATGTGCCCTCATCACTTCCAGTCCACTCTGGGTCCTTTCAATCTTTCTGATCTTCCTCTTGCTTTAAAATATGTCTGGCTGGCCAGTCGGTGGAGCATGGGACTCCAGATCTCAGGGTCGTGAATTCAAGCCCCATGCTTGGGCATAGAACTTACTTAAAAAAAAAAAAAAAAAAAAGTCTGGCTAAGGTGGATCCTCTCTTGACTCTCTGCTTATTACTTCAGTAGAGCCACTTGCCTGTTTCCAGCACCCTACATCGGGTTTTTCCTAGAAGGACCCGAGGCCGTCAGTGAGACGGCTGTGTTGCTGAACAAGCCCAACTTAGCAAGTATGGCCTGCCATGTTCTACTTTTTCCATTTCCTTTCTCACTAAGATAAGCTGGTCTTATCCCTTTTCTCTTTCCCTTAATCTAAAAGGTTGGTTTATTAGAGTAGGAAAAAAACTACACTCACACCTTGGGTGGATTCAGTGAAGGCAAATTAGAACGGTAATGAGGCGGAAAGGAGCCAAGTGATTATTGATCTCAGCGTGGGCCAGGCAGGAAAGACACCCCGCCCGTTTTCTCCTGTTTCAAAGGTTACAGTGAAAAAAAGCGATGCAAATCCAGTGGCTTAGCCTGGGTAGTACATTTTTATTGACGTTCCTTTTGATCAGCTATCTTACCCAAAGGTAAATCCTTATGGAGAGATGAGTTTGTTGGCTCTTGTTAATTTTATTGGTAAAAATGGTATAGTAGATGGAAAGTGAAATAGAGTGGTGATCAGGAAAGCTAAATTTTAGTAACGGCTCCCACGCTGAGCTGTGTGACCTGGAATAAATGATTCAACTGAGCCCCAGTTTCCTCATCTATAAAGAGATTTGACCAAGTAATCTGGGGTTACCTGCTCGCTCAGCAATGCTGTATTTCTAAAGTGAGAAACTAACCTCAGAGGTTGGATAAACAGCAAGCAAAACCCCCACAGATGAGATTTTTGTTAAGGAAATCAGGCATTAACCGGAGGAAAAGAGAGGAAAACGTGGGGCACCTGGGTGGCTCAGTCATTAAGCGTCTGCCTTCGCCTCAGGTTATGATCCCAGGGTCTTGGGATCGAGTCCCAAGTCAGGTTCTCTGCTCATCGAGGAGTCTGCTTCTCTCTCTCTCTCTCTCTCTCTCTCTCTCTCTCTCTCGTCTTTCTCCCTCTACCCCTCCTCCCTGCTCATTCTCTCTCTCAAATAAATAAATAAAATCTTTAAAAAAGAGAGAGAGGAAAACCGGAACTTCTCAAGAAAGTAATTCAAGTGTCAGTAAACGTGAAAAGAAGCTAACCTTGCTAGTAAGTAGGGAAACACAAATTCAAGGAGGAGATGTAAACTTGTACCTGTCCACGTGGCAGAATCAAGGCAATCATAGTCTCCTGTCTCCTCACTCACACTGGACTTCTAATCCCACAGTAAATGTTGGCTCCAGAATCTAACCACTTCTCTTCACCTCACTGTTGCTGTCCTGGCCCAAAGCTCTCATCTCTCAAATGGATTATTGCAGGAGCCTCGCAACTGCTCCTTCCATGCTCATGCCCCCGACCCCATCCTTTACTCTTAACGTTGCAGCCAGAGCGAGGCCGTTGCACCAAGTCAGCCCCAAATTTTGGAATCTTATTCTTGCCTACAAGTCCCTACCCACCCTGGCCTCCATTTCCTCTTGACCGTCTCACCAACTCTGTTCAGGCCACACTGACCTCCTTGCTGCACCTCTGAACAGACCTAGCACATTCCTGCCCTGAGCCTTGGTGCTGGTTTGCTCCCTTTCCCCAAAATTCAAACTCGCACTTCCTTCATAGGCTCAAATACCACCCTGGGGACACCTTCCTTGACTAGCCTATTCAAAAATCCCAATCCCAAGGGCATTCCTAATATTCTTTACCATACTCTATTTTGTCTTAGCATTTATGACCAAAATTCTACATAATTTACTAAGGAAATCATGCTTCTAAAGAAAATATGACATGCTAGAAAATTATTTTTTCCCTCTACTGCACTGTAAGTGCCATAAGACAGAGAAGTGCCCTAGTTTTCTAGGACAGTGCCTGGCCCATTATAGTTCAGTATATGTTTGTAGAGTGAATGGATGTCCATGGTCGATGGGATGTGTGAAAATGGGACACTTATACACTAACACAACAGTGAAAATGTAGTTCTCCGCACAGTTGGTTAAGCATCCAACTCTTGGTTTGGGCTCAGGAAGTGATCTTGGGGTCATGGGATTGAGCCCCGCATTTAGCTCCCCGCTCAGCAGAAGAGTCTGCTTGAGATTCTCTCTCCCTCTCCCTCTGCCCCTCCCTGTCATGCTCCTGCTCGCTCACTCTCTCTCCCTTTCTCTAAAATAAATAAATCTTAAAAAAAAAAGGCAATGCCTATGCAGGGACACCATGGTGTATATAAAAAGATGTTCATCACAGTGTTGTTCAGAACAGCAGAAAACTGGACACATACCCAAATGTTAGTCCATAGGGAAAGAGTTCACTGAATCATGGTTCATGTACACTATGGAATATTGAGACTATGCACCTTTCACAAGAATGGCCAATAGAAAAGGACGCCAAGATACATTGGTTATTTAAAAATAAGAAATTGCAAAACTATACATACAGTAAAAAACCAATGTGTAAAACTATTATGTATATGTAAATGTATATATAAAAACACTATGTAAAAACTAAATAAGACTATTATCTGTGTATGCACATACCTGTTTATAAACACATCTCTGGAAAGAGACACCCAGATGTAGTAGTGGGAAGGAGACTGGGAAGTGGTACGGGGACTCTCTATGCTTTTGTGTTGTCTGATTTTTTTTTTTAAGAGCATATTTATACATTACCTATATAAATCCTTTAAATTATGCATTAGCAAACCCTATAAAGAATCATTCAGCAATAAGGAATGGAGGAAATTCATCTTTCTCCAAACTCTGGAGGTAACTTCAGAGATAAGATGTGGCCTTGTGTCGAGTGACACAGTGAGCCCCGACTTTGGGCTGCTACCGCAAAGGCTTTCTTAGTGGTCTCCGGGTCAGGTTCTCTGCTGGCCGGCTGGAGAACCAGCCGCCGTCATATTTCTGTCTATCCTAAGCTCAGGTAGTCTGTTGTGGCTACATATCTTGTTCTGTCTCTGAGATGAAAATGCCAACTGGCTTTGGTTGTGAAGGCAATAAGCTGTCAACCTTGAACTGTGAGCGCCACACTCTGTCCCCTAAGGACACAGCTGGGCAGATAGCATCAGCGGCGCGGTATTTCTGTTAGCTCCGTGGTGAGAGCCAGAGGGAGGAGAGGTAAACTCTGCTGATTGGGGCGCGCTGGTGGGTGTGCGCACGTGTGCAGTTCCTGGGCGTGTTGTGTGTTCCCTTTTGTTAATGAGTTAACGGTCCTGTCCCCAGAGTGAGATTAGGCCTACAAGTGTGGCCAGCTGCGCTCCTTGCTCCCAGCACTTTGTGAGAGCCACCAGACACAGGCCCGGTAGGGGCCTTCGCTTCTTCACCTTTAAGAGGTGCTCAGCCCAAAGGTGTCAGTCTCAACAGCTGGAAGAGAGTGAACAAGCCACCTCTCCTGGGTTTCTAGCTGTGGAAGATGTTTCTCTTATCTCTGAAGACAGTGGGGCCATGTCTGTGGCATTAGCCAACTACTTCTGCTTTTGGGGGGTGTCACATGGTGGGAGAATTGCCTACAGAAGTAGAAGGAATGTCAGCATTGATGCTGGGGCTCGGCACCAGCCCCTTTGTTCATTCACCCAGCAACTATTTATTGAGCGTCTGCGAAGTGTGAGTCGCTGTATGATGTGAATGTGACAGGCATCGTTCCTGCCCTCAGTCAGGCCCCAC